GTATGCTCCCACCAAAAGTATCTGGAATGGATTTTCTGGAACATTTACATAATAACGCTACGATTCTTTCTAGATTCCAGTACAATCGAGTGAAAACAGGATTTTGTCTATGTAAATATTACTTCTAAATGATCATTACAATCATTATGATAGGGAATACCAAATTTCAGAATTTCAGCGCGATCAAAAATCGGCTTACGAAAAGGTGAAAAAATTATTTTAACCATTAGTAACATGCTTAAAACTCCCAAAAACACAGTTTTCACCGTCCTGTAAGTCCAAAAAATCTCCATAATCTTGAGGAAACATTACACGAAGAATGGAATCAAATTCCAGCCAATGTGTATATTAATTTAATTGTAAGCATGCCTAAAAGAGTTGAGGCCTACGTTCAAAATGATGGATGGTCCACGAGATACTAAATTCATTTATAGTAAATGAATTATAAATCAAAATAAAATTCCTGGATACTTTTGTGGGGAGTGCACATGTGCAATTTAAATGTCCAAAGCTTTTTCCGTCCCTTCCAAGTATGTCCAAATCCTGTTTAGCTTAAAAATTATATCAAAAAATACAAATTAAATGTAAGCACTGCACTTTTACTTAGATCATCACCAAAGTAGGTTGTTATCATTTTTTTCTTGTTCCGACTGTCCCAACTTTGTCCAATCTGTCCGTGTACAACACTGCACTGTACGAGTGCTACCTGATAATTGAGCGGCATAAATTCGACATTACGACCAATTTCGTGAGTTCTACATTCACACATATATCAGATATTAAATGTACATGTAATTACATGTAATATAGTTTGGTATGATCTTCTATAAGAGCTTATCGTTATGATAAAATTATAATATGTGAGATTGAACGTAAACTTTCCGAAATTCAAATTTCGTGACATCTCAGATTTTTGGTCACGTCGGCATTTTGGGTGTCAGGATGTTGGCATGTCAAGATTTTTAGGCGTGCCGGGATTTTGGGTACATTTATACAGTATCGGTATTTCTATCTGGATTTTTAGTTATAATGTAATAACTTAAAAATCACTGAACTTTAGAACGGTTCGAATCGTCCGAAAATTTTATTTTAATTTATAATTCAATTATTATACATGAATTTTGGTATCTCGACTCTTAGGCATGCTTTCAGTTGAATTCATGTTGGCTGGAATTTGATGAAATTTTTTAAAAGTATAGGACGGTTTTAAACCTGAAAAATACGCTTTCGGAGACCTTTAGCATGTTAATAATGGTCAAATAGACTTCCTACCTTTTCGTAACCCGATTATTTGCCCCACGTAGAAATAGAGTTCGGTATTCTTTACCATAAGGATCATAACAATCGATGAAAATTATCACATTGATTTTATTTGTTTATGTGATACGAGTAAATATTATGTTCTGTTTTTGCTCGATTGTAATTGAAAATCAGAGGTATCTCCTATAGCCTACCTATAGCCAATTATTATTTAAAATGTTCCAGAAATTCAAAAATCCATTCTGGATACTTTTGGTAAGGAAAAGATAAATTATGTTGGAAAATAAGAAGCACTTTGCATAACTGTATATATTTTTAATATTTATTACTTTTATAATTTGCTTTGAATATCAGCATAACTTCGCATTTATTATCATTATATCGTTTAAAATTAATTTCTTCATGATGATTTATAACACATTTTGACATTCAACATTTGTTAAAGGATCATGCATTCATTTACAATCAAGACCTCCAAAAAAGAACCCTCCATAAAGAAACAATCTCCTTCAAAGAACATTTTTTTATAGAACCAATTAATTAATTACTAATATTTCCTCTATATAAGAACAATCTATAAAGGAACAAGAACATAATTTTATAGAACATTTACATTTCGGAACAAAAAACCGTAATAAGAAAAAATAATATTGGATTGCAAAAAATACGCATAAAAATAGTTAATATATAGAAATTACCTAATAATAAAATTTATTATATGTAAATTAAAGTGAAATACATTCTCCATTACACTCAATAATAAGCTCACAATGTCACTTCATCGATCTTACAAAATTGATTAGAACAAATTCTGAGATCACTCTCCACTCCTCTATTATAAATCTCTATACTTTATATCCTTTAAATATCTTGAAACAATCATATGTAATAACTCGAGACCTTTTTGGCTTAATTTTTAGCCAAGATTCTTGTTGAAATTGAGGCATCTCTTCGGATATATTGTTCAATGGCCTAGAAAAAATCGCCGGTAATTTTTTGGTCTATTGTCCTATTTTTTTAAAATTTTCTTAATAAGTAGAGCTTTGGTTTGTATATGTAATTTTCTGATATTATATTCCTTTGTTTCATAAATATAATAAGACTGGGCGTCGGATATTTCTTTAAGATGTATGACATTTGGATGTGATTCATTTTTATTTAAAAAATTCAATATTGCTAATAAATGTTAAGTTATTTTTTTATTATGTATTTCAAGTTGCGTTAATCAAAGCAAATTTAACGATGTTCATATTTACGGTTTTTCGTTAAAACTGTATATTAGATTTTACCTCTACGTGAGAACAAATGTCACGTGCGGTATATTGATTGGTTGGAAATCAGATATGCAAAATTAATTTCTTTGGGATCTGTTTAATCTTAGCGACCACATTCTTAACATGTACATAAAATAATATTAGCATTTTTCATTATGAGAATGCAAGAAGGTAATAAACATTAAATATTATATTTATTAATAATGCTAACATTTACTGTAATTGATTTTAATAAATATAATATTTAATGTTTATTATAAAATTCTACGGTTAGGACATAATTTAGATATCCCAACTGTGTTCTTTATGGAAGTTCAATTGTATTAGATTGTCGATCTCCTTTATTTCCGCTAGACAATTCAACTATAGAAAGTTGAAACATTCACTTCATCGATCAAGCAATTCTCACTTTTTATTTCATCTAAATCATCATGATAGAGATAATATTATAGTAATGAATTAAAAATTTAATAAGAGAATATCAAATAAATTTACCTTTATTTGATTCGTTTGAAATATATTCGCAAATAAGTATATTAATGCTGATATGATACGGTATTTTTGATATGCAATTGACACTTGTTGAGCCTAAATATTAAATTAAGTTTTTATATTATCAATTTTTAGGTAACGACTCAACTGGTATAAACAACATTTGAGTGATTGTTTATATAACTATCTCATCAAGAAATTTTAATATCTGCATTTCTAGTTTAAGATATTTAATAATTTCTAAAGTGCAAAATGCAGGTTTGTATGTATTATAATAGCTCATAAAATTTGTGAGAATCAGAAGTCATCATTTCGAAGGTTAAAATTATTAAGATGAACGTCTATACACAAGTACCTTTTTATAGGTAAAACATGCGATAAAATATGTTCAAGAATAAGCAAAAGGCAATACGAAAAGAATTATATACATTGCGAAAACAAGATCGGGATAAAAATTTATATAAGTGGAGAAATTAATAAAAAAGTAAATAAAATTTACAGCGGTTAAATTGACCAGCGATTACTTCTATAAGGTCTATGTAAAAATGCTGCTTATCTATGAGGATAATATTGTGTACAGACCATGCTTATATCACACCAAGCGTGAAGTTAATTTATTGATACGTGGAAATAACCATCTAAACTCATCTACCTATGTTTTAATGTTTAAGCAAATTTTACTTTATTACCTCATTAATTTAAAAATTATTAATATAATCCAATACAAATGGTCTGCGTATATTAATACCTTAATCGTCCGGTCCTTTAGATAAATGATAAATAAAGATGAGGAATAAAATGATCAATGCATTGTCATCGTCCGTAACTAAGAAGATGTGATTACGATGAGCCTTCAATTCGTTAGTTGCATTTTATTCACCATAAATCTGTCAGAGTGAAAACATTATGGATACCGGAAACTGGGAAGAACGTTCACGGCTGAAACTGTAGTCACGAAGAACTTTCAATTCCCAGACATTTTACACCAATAGTGACAACATAACTTAAAATATGCAATGACTCAGCATAAGTTACATGTATCTTATTTAAATATCAAATTTTTTTTATCTTTCATATTGTAGAAATCATGTCATTACTGCGAGAATAGTCATTTTCAATGATCATTACATATATTCATTATAATAAAATATGTTATTTTTAATCGCAGGTTAAAAAAGTGTAGTCATGTAATCAATTCTCTATATAAGGGTTAGAAAACAGGATTGTATTTCTAACATTGGATATTTCCAATTAGAAGTCTAGATTCCGATCAATCATTATTTGAATCAGGATGAAAAACTATATTATCGAGTGTTCGGTCATATGATTTTTCCGGATAAAAATTTTATAGTAAGTAGATGACAAATCAAGTAATTTTTAAGAGATAAACCAATCAAATCGCAAAATCAAATTTGTATTGTAAAGTTACATTCGACAATCCTCGAATTAACCTACATGTGATCGTCTGGTCGTAAATCAGGATTTAACGAAACAAAAGAAAATAAAAAAATAAGAACTAACAAAATAATAATAGTATAAACAACCAACATCCAAATGAAATTGAAAAATAGATATTTATATTACATGTAATTTTAATAACATTCATTTTTACATACACAGTGACTCTCTTTATAGTGTATCAAAAAAATCTATTAGTAAAAAATTCTCAAAAATCCAATATATCGAGAGTTTTTGAAATTTATTAGTAAATACACTATATCGGGTAGAATTTATTATAGATGGTTTTGAACCTTTATCCACTATAGCGTGATTTTAATTAGTCTCCACTGTAAAGGAGGTCCACTATAAAGAGAGCCACTGTGTATATATTTCTAGCAAAAGTGATTCAGCATGAGATTCTGCCAAATTCGGGCAAATTGCAAATTCTTTAAATCTAATATTAGCAAATAATGAAAATAATAAATTGCGATCTATTAAATCTAAGAATATTAGAAAAGATTGTTAATGAATTGGTTAAGAATCTTCGTCTGTAGCTCTTAGGAACTTATAGCCTTGATCCGGCTGGTGTACAAAGAAAAATTGGCTTAACACAACACATCGCATCCAACAAGGGAGCTGTCTATATGGCCACCGAGTTGCCTTTGTCAAACTCTAAGCGTGTTTGTCCTTACCCAAGCAACATTATCTCCAATTGCCATTTCAAATGACATTGATGCAGTAAAACACGAGAGGGTTCGCCGTATCCTGTAGCATAACCACGTATTCTGTGCCATCATTCATTTCCAAGTACTCTACGGACATGATAAGGAAGAATTGTCTCTGGTGCACCTGAACCGATAACAGATTATGCAATTTATTTTCTCAGTTACTGTCCTTGCTGGTGCTTCGCGAGATCTTCGCGACGTTTTTTCATCTATTGGTAAGTATATTGAACCAGGCATTTCACATTCAAGTTCATTTAACTCCTCGCCCGTATACATATCTCTTAACTTCCTGTTTATATATCAATACCCAGCTATCTTTATATTCATTAAATGTGCTCTTATCTAAATTGTCAAAGAAGGAGATAAGATTAAACCCCGCTTCATCATCATACTTCAAGGCACCGTCATCTGCTATGTGAAAAAAAGCCGTTCCCCTATCAAAATTACTCAGGCCACCTGAAGTCCGGGACCACACGTTCTACAAAAGCATTATATTAGCAACCTTACCTAAAAACTTCTGAGCTTGCCCAGAATCTGTTTCATACTTGAGAAGGAAACCAACCGTCTCAGTTGGATGGGAGATTTCGGGCATAGGAGGATTCAGTATTTACAAAGGTAATAACTAAGAAAAAGGGTATAGATTTGGAATATTCAAATGCAGTTATGGCATTTACCTTTCTTTCTGTCATTGTTAAAAGCAGAATGGTTTTATATGCAAGCAATATGTCAAAGAATAGTTCTATTTAATAGATTTTTTGAGATTTTTTTTACAATCAAACGCAATTTTTGTTGCTACTTCCGTAGCACACGCAGCTTTTGAATATAATGTGTTTTATGAATGGGAAAAACCATACTCAATTCATACAATTTTTAGCCAGATCTTGCAACAAATTTTTATCCTGTATTTTTACATATTTAATAACCAGTCATGCATTAGCTTACTCGTGCGAAATTTTAGAGATCTATTTTCTTTATTGATAGCTGTAAAAGCCGGTCTATATAGGTAGAATTGTGAAGTAGAGACAAAGAGGGAGGAATAAAGCATAAAACAATGCCTGCTGGGATCTTAGATCCCTTTACATCGTAAAGAAATGGGACTCCTTTTCTTTTTCTATTCTATATCATTTACCTATCTATTTATTTGTTTTATACTCATTGTTAAAATTCACATGATCTTTTAAGATAAAACCTCAGATCGAAACATTCAAAAATAGCTTGTATCTCGAAATTTTGTAATAATTAGTTTATCTTTTATAAATTTTATAATGATCTCTCACAATAAATTTATTTTTTTACTATACATTTCATGCATTTTTCTCTATCTTTACTTGAAAATTTGAAAATGAATAAATAAAAGACAAAGAATAATAATGAAATCTTGCTTGACTTTTCCAATTCATATTTTGAATAAAGAATATTATTAATTGATTTTTTTAAAATCATTATAATAGTTTTATTAATTAATTCAGTATATTTCTAAAATTCTTTCAGTTTTATTAATTCTTGTAATCAAGTTATAATTATAAAATAATATTTTATACATTTATTACACAAATTATATTATAAAAATTTATTTTTATAATAAAATCATTATTAATTAGCAGAAATATTATAAATTAATTAAATAAGTTATTTCAATTAATAAATTTATTTATTATAATTTTTATAATACTTGAATAATTAAACTGAAAAATTATAAGTTTTAATAATATATTTAGTTATTTTTTCTTATACAAAATATTAAATAAATATTTTTTAAAATAAATAATATAAAAGATAATTAATTTAATTAAAAAAATAAATTAATAGAGTCTTTATATTTAAAAGAGTAATAAAATTACAAATATTTAAATATAAAGATACTTTAATAGAAATTAAATATTTTTTTAGAAAGATAAGAGATTTTTAAATATTAAATTCTAATAATACATAATTATTTATTAAATATAATTAGTTCAAGTAAATTTATAAGTTATAATATTAACTAAATTAATTTTTTTATAATATAAAATCAATATATATATTTAATTATTAAATATAATAATTTTAATTAATTATATTCTCTTTAGTTTAAATCTTTATTTTATATTTTCTGTATTATATTTTAGTATTACCATAGTAATATAAAATTCCTTAATTCCTTAATCTTTTCCTAGTTATGCAAATTTGCATATTTTTATATTTTTATTTTATTTTATAAATATCCCTATTTTTATATCATATATTACTATAATTATTATCATGTTTCTATTTTTAATATTATAATATTCAGGATCTATATTTTTATTTATCTTGTAATATGATATTCATGTACATAGTAAAATAGTATAGTGGAAGATCATTTTTAATTTTGGTGAAACAGTTATACTTGG